GATCCAATGTGTTTTTTTACCAGTGTAACGTTAGGACGTTTCCATATTTTCTCTTGAGCCTTGTTTTGCATATAGATCCATACTTTCAGAGACTCATGCAGAAAGCGAGATACGCCCTTACTGCCGTGCTGAGGAAAAACGCTGTATGAACCATCAGGCGTTGCCGTATTTCCCTTGATAACCAACGAACCTACTGGGAAAATTCTGAATATTTTTCTTCCAAATTTTAAGAAAATTGTGTGCGCAATTTAATCTAAAATATCCGAAAATTTCAATGAAAAATACGCATGAATTTTGTCAAAAATACATAGTTTATCCGGGGAAATTTGGCAACAATATGTTTATACGGCGTTCTTCCTTAGCACGGTAGCTTACGCCAGTGGAGCAACGACACCGACGGAGAGGGAAGTGTATCAAATTATCGTCACAAGAAGGCAAAGTGAAAATTTACGTAGCTGAGAAGAGAAATTCCAATGATCTTTCAGGGGCTGCGTAAGCAAACCGCAACAGTTATCCGGGAGCTCGAAAAGACACTCCAAAACTCGACTCATATAACAGTATCAAAGCATTCTTCTAGGATAGATTTTCAAAACATAATTTTACAGTTTCTGCGCGTTTCATGACATACAGAGTCTATTGAAAAAAATTGAAAACTTTCCTTGAAACTTCACGAAATTTTAAAATGACACATCGTTATATATTTAAATGCAATTTGACATTCCGGTTCACGGGCGAAAGGGGGCGGTTTTTGACATCTCCCGCGTCTTAGTATTACCGATATTTGCAGGTTGTCAAAATTAAAATCCTGCATTTAATAATTCATCTTACCAATTTATTAGGGTGAGAGAAACTAAACTTCGATTAAAATCGCTTTGTTTTGAATGAACGAATCCTTCAACATGCAAGTCTGGAGATAACTCAATCCCGGGAACAAACACGTTTACTGTCGTGCTAAGGGAAAATCGCCGTAAGAACATTCGAGAGTTGCCAAATTTCCTTCGATAAAATGTTCATTTTCGAAGAAAGCTATGGATGTTTTTCCTTGGAACTTTAAGGAAATTTAGGTAAAATTGCGAACAAAATTGTCTAAGCAATTCGAGAAAAAACGATTAATCTAAATTTTCCCGAAAATTCGTGATTTATCAAAGGAAATTTGGCAACGCCTGAAAGCTCAAACGACGTTTTTCCTTAGCACGGCAGTTTGGAGGTACATGACGAGAAGAAAACTGTTGCCAAAGCAGTTGCATAATCAGCTTTCCAGAGTCACATAGAAGACATGTGTCGGAGGACACATGCTTGACTTTTTAGTGCCTTCACAGAGAGGAGGGTGTATGCCGCGAAATATTTAATTACAGATGATTAAAGACGAAGCAGAGCGCGGGCTTTACGACTGCTAACCACGCATTACGTGAGCAATAAAAGTGAAGGGACAGGCCGAGGCGGGTAGATAAAGCGATAAAATGCCACAATAAGACTTTCACTAAGTTGGACTCTCAGTCTGGATGGTCATGTTAAGTGAATAAAACTTCGTCCAAGTCATAGCACTGGCGATCGGCGGGTGGAATAAGAAGAAGGACATGTATACGATTCGTAGATCTTGCAAGCTCTGCAGATGCTAGGAAAAAATTCAATTGCTGATTTAACAATTCAATTGCTAAAAAAAAGTGACTGCAATGTTTCATTGTAGATTTAACAACAAAAAAATGCTACTTTAACCACCCCCATGGTTAAATTAGCTTACAATAGTGGTTAAAGTAGCATTTTTTTGTTGTGAAATCTACGTTGAAGAATTGCTGTCCCTTTTTTTAGCAATTGAGTTGTTAAATCAACAGTTTAATTTTATCCGTGTGAAATCCGTACTCAGGTCAAAATCCGCACTCTTCGACAGTTACGATAACTTGCAATGGTTAACATGGGTTTTGACTCATTACAACTGACTTGACCGGTAAATGCATACTTGAAGCGCTGGGTTAAAAAAGCGCGACTTAGTGATAGTGGTGTGCACCACTTCTTTTTCATTGAATTTTATCAAGAAAATTACCTGGCATTTTCTCTTGAAACTGAAAACCGAAGGCAAGAGTATTTTAGTGTCTTACTACCCGTAGTGATCAAACTTTTGTGTTGAAATTTTTCTCTGCGAAAACGCAACCACGAAAACATGCCGAATGTAGCATTTATTACTGTCTTGTCTAGCAGCAGTCTAACATGAAAACGAATAAACCCTTTTTTTTGTAATCGTAATAAAATTGGCCGATTCTTAACCATCCTAACGATTATGAGAATCTATTGGATGATTCGTGTAAATTTGACGAAGAACAGAGGCTCCTTTCAACAAAATTTTCCGCTCATACACTGGAGCGAGTCCATTTTCACAAAACTTCATTTTTCCACTTACGGCTCTCCACATTGTCAATCGAAGGCTGGGGTTGATTCGTGTTCTACATCCCGTAATAACCGAACTTTGTGATGAAATTTCTCTCGTTGTGGCCGGCGAGGGGTTAAGTTGACCGTTGCGATGGACAAGACATAGAACGTCCGATCGAAAACAATAATCCATTATCATGGTGAATAATGAGAATCTCGGAAACCGACGGCAACACAGTGAAAACCCAGAGTTATAACCTCAATAAACGGAACACGGCCAGGATCGGGATCAGAGACACAATCCTTCACACCATGCTGCGAGGCAGTTGAGCATACGCTCGCAAGATAAATAGGGTCCTCGCTGACGGCAACTGAACTTTAATTAAATGTATTCATCGATGAGGCCGGCCGCACACTGGTCTCATCCGGATTTTCTCCGGGCGAAATCTACCGTGCTGGGGAGGAACGCCGTATGAGCCTTCAGACGTGGTCAAGCATCGTCCGATAAAAAGCGAATTTAACAGGAAGATTGTGGAAATTATTTTCCAAAATTTTCAAAACATTTTTCACGCAATTTGATCTAAAATATCTGAAAATTTCAAGGAAAAGTATGCATGAATGTTGTCAAAAATACATGTTCTATCAACGGAAGTTTGGCAACTCTCTATTGCTCATACGGCGTTCTTCCTCATAACGGCAGAAATCCCCACGTTCGGTGGATTCGTGTGAGTGAGTCGTGGGCAATGTTCCGAAAGTTCGGTTGCTAATCTAAAGCCGCAGCATGTTGTGTAACACCAGATACAACGGCACTACTCTTAGCACTGACAAGCGATCAATAGAAAACAATTCTTTATATTTTAAAAGTCGCACTTCTGAAAGCGTTCGCCTCGAAGATTGTAAGGTGTTCGAAGGCTCATGGCTCAGAGGTTTCAAAAGTTAGGTTGAGAGTTGGAGTTGGAGTGCTCTGAAACGCAAATTTTGTAACGTTGACCATTGGCGGATCCAGCAAATCGGTACCCTTGTTCTCGCTCCGTTTAAACATAATTATATGGAAATGTATCGATTCTTGAAGGGGGCGAGGTACTCTGAGAAGAATCGATTATTTAGCATAGGTTTAAATGGGAGGAGTCCAGTGTTGCTAAATAGCTGGATCCGCCTCTGACGTTGACTTTATTTTCTTGTTCATTCTCTGTTGTCGATAAAATTACATTTCCCTGACACATTTTGGTGAAATTTCCTGACGGTTACTAAAGATATGCCAGATGGTCAAAGAGACGTAATTAATTTTTTCTTATTCAAACATAACGTAACTACTACAAGTATTTACTTGTATCTATCTACATGGTTTAAAACTAAAACTAAACGAATTGCATTGAATTTACAGGGTAACGTTAGATACTTGTAATACGACGATGATCAGACAAAATTCGAAATAGATTTTCGGCGAAATTTGTTGTTCGTAACGTCCAACCCGTTTTAGAAAACAATTTAAAGGGCTTATCATTTTGTCCCTGACATTTTCTTCATTTTCCTGGACTTCTCAAAATTCCCTGACATATTCGTCATTTTCCCTGACGTTTCAAGAGTCCCTGCACTGGAAAAAAAACACACCGGATCTAGAGTCCAGACTCTTGAAAACATTGACAAGAAAAAATACTCTTGATCCAATCAGATTTAAGCTTAAATCAAAAGGAAATCCGCTCAAATTAAGAGGCTTGGTTCTTGATATAAGCTTAAATCTGATTGAATCAAGAGTATTTTTTCATGTCGATGTTTCTAACAGGACTCTAGATCCAGTATGTTTTTTTTTTCCAGTGTACGACGATGAGTGGACAAAATTCGAAATGGATTTTCGGCGAAATTTGTTGTTTGTAACGTCAAACCCGTTTTAGAAATCAAACAAAGGGGCTTACTAATTTTTCCCTGACATTTTCTTCATTTTCCTGGACTTCTCAAAATTCCCTGACATATTCGTCATTTTCCCTGACGTTTCAAGATTCCCTGCACTGGAAAAAAAACACACCGGATCTAGAGTCCAGACTCTTGAAAACATTGACAAGAAAAAATACTCTTGATTCAATCAGATTTAAGCTTAAATCAAAAGGAAATCCGCTCAAATCAAGAGGCTTGGTTCTTGATATAAGCTTAAATCTGATTGAATCAAGAGTATTTTTTCATGTCGATGTTTCTAACAGGACTCTAGATCCAGTATGTTTTTTTTTCCAGTGTACGACGATGAGTGGACAAAATTCGAAATGGATTTTCGGCGAAATTCGTTGTTTGTAACGTCAAACCCGTTTCAGAAAACAAACAAAGGGGCTTACTAATTTTTCCCTGACATTTTCTTCATTTTCCTGGACTTCTCAAAATTCCCTGACATTTTCGTCATTTTTCCTAACGTTTCAAGATTCCCTGACATTTCCCGGTCTGCCCTGACAGTGGCAACCCTGAGCGTAATCTGGCCCGACAGACTCGCGCCCGGCGCGATCTCCGGCCGGGGAAAGCGAGCGGAAAACAGTTTCATCATCCGGGAGCAGCGTTGCGTAAGGGAGCTCGATTTTTCACCGCGCGGCGTGACACTCGCCTTAATTTCCCGGGACCGGAAGCGCCGGAAGTGGGTGGGAAGGGGTACTCACCAGTTGGCGGAGGTCGCGGACCTGGTCCCAGGACTCCTTGCTGTCGACCGAGTAGACGAGGATGAAGGCGTCGGCCGTGGAGATGGAGAGGTCCCGCATGGCCGGGAACTGGTACGCCCCCGAGGTGTCCAGGATGTCCAGGGTCAGCGAGGCCCCGTCCGGTAACTCGTACTCGCCTGCCAACCATCGACAAATCAATCACCACGCAAAGACACCAGAAAATTTTGCAACACAAAGTATTGCCGTAAAGACAGAAAAATGGACCACTAGACAAGGTGCGAATTTTAGAATTCTGATACATGTCTCTTCATTAAAATTTCACTTAAAACACGATGCGCACAACGAAAATCACCGAAATCAAATCCTTAAGAAGATATTTAATGATTCTTGCTGCGAGAATTCAAACCACCCGTTCTAGAAAACTCAATGCTATGCGTGATTCACATCGCGCGCTAAACGTTATCGTGACAGTCTCAGCGATATAAAAATCTGGCAACCTCGATCTTGACGCTTCTACGTGAAATTCTGGTTCAGAAACATTTATTAGATTGCTTAAATTCGTACTTTGTCCAGTGGAGTGGCCCATTGTATCATCATATATGGACGTATAATTGCTTATAAATATACCGTAATAATAGTGAAGTTGATTTAACATTCTGGATGTAAAAAAAGTATGCAAGAGCTTAGAGCTGCATTACCGGCCAAAGCAGTTACTTTTACATCTTGGCATTACTAGTAACTCCTTTAGTTGGTATTTACAAACTTTGGTGGGAGCAAGAATAAGAGTTGTTACTCATAGAAAGTGTCTCAAAAATCACGATGAGCGCATCAGCAAAGTCTTCAATGCACTCCTTACTGCACAATTCGCATAAGAAATTTGCGATTTAACGAGGTTCCCGCTTCAAAAACGATACCAAGGCACAGGTGAACATTTCGTTAGAGGAGTCATTCCATCCACACAAGAATACCCCCCTCTGCACACAAGAATACTGCGCAATATTCAACATAGCCGACGCCAATCCGCCGAAACACATGTGACGGGACGATGATTCTGACCACTTGATAACAATCGGCGTGTTTACATTCACATTTTTCTCGCGTTGATAGATATCCTTCTTGACCTCGTGCTCTTCTCAACTTGTGCGCGGAAGCGTGGGCCATGTTGAGCAGGGTTTGAATGGAAAGACCCCTCTAACGAAATGTTTACCTGTGCAGTGGTATCCTTTTTGAAGCGGGAATCTTGAAAAAACGCGAATTTCTTGCGCAGATTGTGAAGTTGCGGTTGAGCCCAGGGGAAAATTTCATGAGCCGCCGCGCCGCACTATGGCCCAAAACTCAAGCATAGGAAGAAATAAGTCGGATAATGACTGAAAGATCACGAAAGTTTCGTAACAGATGCTTTTTGAGTCGCTAATTTCGAATTTTACGTCAAATTGCTCTACGAATTTTAGGACACGCTGCGGCGCGACGCGGACGTGCAGCCGACTTGAATCGCCCACTGACGCCTACAAACCTAAGGGGATACTTCACGCATTGCGCAATGCTTGAAGTATCCTCTTAGGTTTGTAGGCGTTTCGTCCGTAAGGATTTCGTTAGAGGAGTCGTCCTCTAACGAAATGTTCACCTGTGGTCAGGTATCCTTTTTGAAGCGGGAATCTTAAAAAAAAACGCAAATATTTTTCGCAGATTGTGAAGTTAGGATCGCATTTCAGAGTTTGCCGATGCGCTCATCGTAATTTATGAGACATTATCTATGAGGAACAACTATTATTTGGGTATAATTCTATCAAATATGACTATGTGTGGGTGAGAAATATGGGGTTGCGCTCTAGAAATTTTTTGCGCAGATTGTGTAGTTAGGAGCACATTTCAGAGTTTGCCGATGCGCTCATCATAATTTTTGAGAACTTCTATTTGGACATATTTCTATCAAACAGAACTATGTGCAGGTGAGAAATATGGGGTGCGCTCTAGAGGGCTGCATAAGAGACAATGTGGACAGTGGGCAAGATTCCTTTCGAAGAATTGGAAAAGCGGGATTTTAAATTCAGCAAACAATCTATGCGGCAACTGCATGCGGGATACGAGGTCTGTTAGATTAGAAACCGGATTTTGGTCATAACTAGCCTACTGTGCGTCCAAATTTAATTTTCTTGATCTTTCCTGATAGCTGAAAATATACTTAAGAACGCTACGTCCACAGATTTGAAAAATCTTAATTAGCTTCGTTGGTATGTGGCTTCAAGTACGGCAACCTCATAGGTGTTTTGCGATTTTTATGTTTGACCGAACTTGTCTCTCTTTTTTCGGTCTTGCACTACATTTTTCAATCCACAAGGATGATTGGAGTTTCGTCTCCGTATCTTAGCCGTACACTCAAGTATTATCACCGAAAATTATCCTATCCAAAAATGTAGGATCATTGTTAGCACGTTCAAGCAGCTATAGGGAAATTAACATTCGGTTGGATTTTGTTCAACGGACAACAATGAAGGGGCAAGTGTACCTGAAACTCGATGCATGTCTACATATTCCATCAAAATTGTATATACAGAGCCTTCAGAAATATTACATTGTTCAGCAAGCTCGAAACGACGATTTTCGAGACTTTTGCCAGCACTTCTTCCATGTGACAAATGTTAGTTGCCGTTGATGGTCGATTCCCATGCTCCTCATCTTCAACGAACTCCTGACCAGTTTTGAATCGTTTAACCCACTCAAAATAGTGAGTACAACTCATATAATGATCTTGGTAAACTTTACTTAGCATACCAAAAGTTTCGGTGCAAGGTATACCGAGCTTAGAACAAGATGTAATGTTAAATCTTTGCTCTGTCAGTGATCGCATAATGAAAATCGCAAAACGCACCTGACTTCCTCGTATTCAAGATGACACAGAATAAACACTGATCAACATAAACAAAATCTGTGAACGTAGCGTTCTTTAGTATGTTATCAGTTATCAGAAAAGTCCAAGAAACCCTAATTCGGACGCACAGCAAGCTAGTTATGCCCAAAATCCGGTTTCTAATCTAACAGACCTCGTATAAGAGCTGCGGGCATGGGACGAGAGCGTTCTGGACAGGGGCTCATGAGTTAGAGAAAGCGTACTACGAGGAGCCGCATCCATTGCCATTGACGTCAATGACGCTTTATAATTCTCATTCACTCTTACGGTCAGAGAACTGACGAGCACACTCCATACTTCTCACCTTCACTGGAAAAAAAAACACACTGGATCTTGAGTGCAAACTCTTGAAAACTTAATTCAATCGGATTTTTGCTTGAATCACAAAACGAAATCCGTTAAATTAAGAGGCTTGGATCTTGATTTGAGCTAGATTCTGATTGAATCAAGAGTACTTTTCTTGTCGATGTTTTTAAGATCCTAGACTCTAGATCCAATGTGATTTTTTTTCCAGTGTGGACATAAATCTGTTTGACAGAAATACGTCCATGTTTGCTTTAGGAAAAGTTTGCCAGAGGCCCATTAAGATTGGTGTGCTGTGGCTTACCTCTGTGGAGCTCCTCGACGGTCTCGCGGTATCTGGAGAGGAACTTGTCGTAGAGGAACTGGGATATGATGGAGGACTTGCCGACGCGGGCGCCGCCCATCATGACGACCCGGTGGTGCTCCTTCTGGAGCGGCTCCGAGCAGGCGTTGCTGCTCGTCGTCGACTCGGTGCCCAGCGACGGGAACCGGGCCCGCTCGATGTGACCCAGCACCTTCCAGCTCCCGCTCACCTGCAACACCCACACCAAACGCCCGTTAACATCTCTCTACATCGTCCTCCAAAACAATGTACGACACCAGGCTACACTCTACTACAGGCATGGACAAATGGATTTATAGAAAGTCGTCGAAACGCGTAGATTTGACAGCGTCCAATGGTGCACTGGAAAAAAAAACACATTGGAAAATTTCAAAATAACGGCAGCGTTTAGCATAAAGAAGTGGAAAATCCTGAGGGATTTGATCCAAATTGGATGCGGCATTCCGCACGAAACGGCTTGAGGGTCATGCATTAGCACCAACCCGCAATTTTTATTTCAAGATTCGGCCCACGGCTGGGTGTCGACACGGTCTTCGACCCCGCGCAGCCGCATTATCACGGGTAACGGAAGACTCGTCCGCTCGAACTGAATTCAGCGCCTTCGACATCTCTGAAATACTTCAAGCACTACACCGTTAAGCATACGTTCCTCCGATGTAAATGTTGCCTATGCCTCAGTTGCATACACGGTACACGGGAAAAAAAAACACATTGGATCTTGAGTCCAGAATCTTACAAACAACGACAAGAGAAAGTGCTCTTGATTCAATCGGAATCTAGCTTAAATTAAGAACCAAGCCTCTTAATTTAAGCGAATTTCGTTTTGATTCAAGCAAAAATCCGATTGAATCAAGAGTATTTTTTCTTGTCAATGTTTTGAAGAGTCGGATCTCTAGGTCCAATGTGTTTTTTTTTTTCCAGCGTGCGACTGCGACGCAATATTGATAACTTATTTACTTTCTGTTCAGAGAGTGGGTCTCGTCAATTTCGAGATATTTTTTCGTGTTCTTAGTTAAGTTTTTCAGCACCCCGTTTGTCCATACCTGTAGTAGAGTGTACCATGGTATATCACTGCCTTTCAAAGGAAAAACGCCGTAAGAACAATCGAATCTTCATGCGGCGTTTTTCCTTAGCACGGTGGAAGTCTTAATTGACTCAAACCACGAGTCACCAGGCAAGATTATTTTCAACTTCACTGGTAAAAAAAAGTAGCTTGGATCTAGAGGGCAGACTCTTAAAAACATTGAGAAGAAAAAATACTCTGGATTTAAATGGAAATCCACTTAAATAAAGAGGCTCGGCTCTTCGATTCAAGGAAAAAACCGATTGAATCATAAGTATTTTTCTTGTCAGTGTTTTTAAGAGTCTGGGCTCTTCATACAAGCTACTTTTTTAACCGGTGTTGAGCGCGAAATGTTGTTCGTAACTGTATAAAATCTCCGGATTTCTGGAAATATCATCGCATACTGAAATAAAACTCTGTATTGTCATATTTCACGAGACTTAAGCTGTGCGAGTGCTAACTTCACATGAAATCATTCGGGCACCACGCTGAGACGCTTCATGCGTGATCGATAAAAAGGGGGGAGATGTAGCGTCGGTTGGGTTCCGCAGCGGGAAGCTCCGCGGTCCATTACGAGAGCGCTCAAAACCAGCATGCTTCCTTCCTAAAAGGGTGGAAACGGTGGATTAACTCGAAACTAACCGTGTGCGTCTAAAACAACGTATCTCCAGAACATTTTCATTCAAGTCACGCGATTCCTCCTTACAAGAACTAGCGATCAAGGCGCCTCGCCGCGCCGGACGGTCGAGTTAAAATCAACCGAAGCTCAAAGCACAGGCAATGGTATCAATACACATTGTTTGATAAACCACTTGTTGAACATTCGGCTAGGTTTGCCACACCTTCTATTGATTTTAGCTGCTTTCGTGCAAGTCATGCGGGGAAGCCTGTAATGCTTTGTCGGTGGATAGGGTGTGCTTTGGCAATCATCGCTATTAAACACAGTCTTCTATATTGACATCAAACCTGATATGTTTGTAATGTCTTCGGGAATGCTATAAGCAGAATCCAAGACATATTCCGATGCCAACCAAGCCTTGAACAAAGGGAAACTGAGAATTTACCAGTGGATTTCACTGTTGTATAGCCAACTGATGAATAGATTAAAAAATCCTGTTAGTTCCTGATAAAATCGTCCAAGATCGGGCAGTTCTACTCCGTTTGACTGGTGTAGGAGAATTCGATGCAATTTTCAATGATTACCATGGTTTGCTGCTCCTTAGTCCTTAGCCTGCTGTCTTCCGAAATCTTCCTCTTCCGAGCGAGAGTGCAACCAAAGGATTGAATAAATTTTCAGTCTTAATCATCAGTTTTTTACAAGAAAAGTCATGTTACCGGGATTAAAGTTAGACTGGTTCCCCGCGAGGCGATAGCATGCGTTGCTTTGAACCAATTTTAATTCTGATTTAGCAGATTCAATTCAGCTGACATGACTACAGTAGGTATCGTTGATTATATTTTTGAAAGAGAATTGAGCCGATTTTTTTTACTTCCAAGGTTGAGTCTAATCTGTAAAATCATTCTCTGAATCTATTTCCGATGATAATTTATATCGTGCATGTTCCCTTCTTTCTTTCTTTCCTTTTTTCTAATATTGATTGTGTACTTTACAGGAAATGCAATATCTACTCCCAGCCAGACGCAATCGATCTTCAAATCAGAATCAGAATGGTGGGGGAACAAGAAGACCTGGACTTACCAGCGACTACAAAGCCAAAGCTATACTATAAAGGAGCATGATAAGGATACCCCTTTAACCGACGACGAAGAATGAGAATACTCAAGACTCGGACTCAGGCCTTGTCCACACGAACGCGGTTCGCGGAACTCAGTTCGAGGAACTTGTTCCCGGAACAAGTTTTTTGCTGAGCTGAAACTTATTCCTTCAAAACCTGGAATTTCCCCCGTGCTCCGAGCTTCTAAATACGTTTCTTTTGATGTGAATTTCCTTGTTTTAGTTTTTCACGTCCTTTACATATGATCTTGACATGTATTTTTGTTACTTTGGCGGTCATAATAATCTATTATTTTGCAATAATTGTATAGTTTTATTGAAGTTCCGGTTCCAGTTCGGACGAACCCGTGTGGACAGCATGCCTCGTTTCAAGGAATAAGTTCCGGGAACTGAGCAAGTTCGAGGAATAAGTTCCGCGAACTGCGCTCGTGTGGACAAGGCCTGATAAGGGACTTAGTGGTGCTTCCAAAGCATTATACTCAGGATCAAGTCTTTGCCTATCTCGAGAATGAGTTTAAAGATAAACTCCAAGGAAATATTATCCTTGCAATTTTAAAGCGGAACCGATCGTTTTTAAGGCCATTGGAATTGGGTAGTGGATTAACACTCTCATGTGCTACTTTAGCCGCTCTCTTTAAACAGCAAACGTTATATCTACGCCCCTTACAAGATATACTTCCATGTGATGACACTCATCTCGATACGTACAGGTCCTCAACTCCTGAGTCAAGTCCAAATGCGGTAAGTAATGAAAAAGAATGAAACGTTGGTGCTGAGTCTCCTCTAAACTCACCTCACATTTTAGGCTCACCAGCCCGTAATGAGGAAATAAGTCATGAACTTGACACTGAGGTTATTCGCTCCAGTAACAATGATGCCTTTCATGCCTTGGCACTGCAAGAACAGACCTTGGTGAATATTGTAGTCTCTTCGCGTGCAGACGGGCTTAAACGGTAGACAAATCGATATATCGCAAAGCACGCCTCTCCAGTGTCTTGCGCCATCAAATCCGCGTTAGGAAGACGAAGAGCGAGTAAAAAATAATATTGACGGGTTTGATATCTTAACCGACTCGAGCGGGGATTGTAAAAACAGCGCGAGCCAGACGCGCAGAAGAGATCCGGCCGGAAAATGAAGAAAAAAAGGAAAAACGCCGCGTGATGGATCGCGCCGAGATTCGAAGAGCCTGCACATAATAACGCCGAACCTGTCAAGAACAGCGCATGTGTGCGAGCATGTTGTGGGAGATAAGTTGTTCTGACTGCGAAAGGATCCAGAACCGATTCGGAGGGATTATCGCTGGAGCGGAGACCCGGGCTCGAGTGATTTTCCGCGCCGGTGATTGTATTGTCGAGCGTGAGTTTTTGAAAAAGGCGTTTTAAAAAGGGACGATCCCCGGATCCCTTTCAATGACGCGTCGATATCATTTTTCCGCCGGGGAGCCGCGTTTGTTTTTGGCGAGAGAGGCGATTAATGATAACGTTTCAATCTCCGCCTTCCTCGCGGGTGACTTGGATGTATTTGGGTGTCTATTAGAATTTCATTCTGAATTTTCCTGATAATTAATCCGAAATTCTAACTTTCGGCGTTAGCAAATTGACACTCGTATGATATAAAAAATCAAATACTCGATGATTTCTCAGCTCTTATCGAACGTCACGCGTGAGAGAATTTCCGTAATAACAGCAACTTAAATTATTATTCCGAGTTTAATGAAAGCTTCCAAATGTCAAAATACCAAAATGTTTGATAACGCTTGAAGCACTCACAACTTCCTGACCCACGACCGAATTTCTTGAATTTTTCTGATGACATCGCAACTCCTGATGTTTTTTGGTTTTTAACGACAGTGGACATCCTGTAGGATGTATCATGCGAAGTTCTACTTCAAGACACGCAGAAGTAAATAACATGAATTTTGGTGCATGTTTGCAGCGGTAAAACAAAGCATTGTCATGGAAAATATGGACCGAGTTTATCAGAAAGGAACCAATCCACATTTTCGAAACAATTGAGTAAAGGATGTTTTCCAGAATCACTAGCCGTATTTTTTCTCCTGCCAAAAACTAGAAGTCTACAAATAAAGATTTTTGGTGAAAAGAAGGGTTAAAGCTTATTTTGTACACTGAGTTTTATGCAGGAATAAATCTTCAAACCTCTTTTCCTTAGTTTCAACTTAAAGAAGGTTGGTTCCTTTCTGATGGTCTCAGTCCATATAAAGCGAAAGAATTTCACCGTAGGGATTCTCTTTGAGTTCTCTCTTCTGTTGTCGTCTTAGAATGTTCAGCTAGGCACATCTAGGACTGCAGAAGTATGTAGAGAATATCAGACTCGAAAATAGGAATTTATGAATGATGAATAAAAAAATGAGACGAAATGAAAAAAGATGAAG